AGTTAGTCATTGTGTGATAGTAGGCTACCCAAACAAATAAACTGATTCCAGGCCAAATAGTACAATGTATTCGAATTTAGGATTGTACGTATTCATTTACAGTGGCTGCATTTAAGGTGCCTATTTTTTTAAAGTACTTTTCACTTTTCAGTTTTCATTTTACAAATGTAGAAAAGCGAAAATTAATTATGTTTTATAAAAAAACATACTTTAAATAAGTAAGTCTTTTAAGAAGCTTCAGGTATTTATTTTAGATTAAAGTATGTTTAGAAATGAAAGAGAGTAATAAAAGCTTATTATGTATGCAAATCGTAAATAAATATAGTACTGGTGCTTATATTCAATATTTTNTTTCTAAATGAAAAAAAACTTGTTATTGAAAAAATAAAACTTTTTTATTTAGTATGGCTGGATTCGGTTTTCTATAAGCTTTTCAACGAGCCCCCTCATGCCTTATGTTTCCATTTGAAAAAAAAGTAGGGGTATCAGGGGGTTAGGGGGTTGAGAGAAGAAAAATTAATTATTATATAACCGAAAGATGGGAAAAGATCAAAATCAGTTAACGGGTTTCGGCGTTTTAAAAAAAATTTACTCATTCAAAATATATGAATTTCATTCCGTACTTTTGGCCATCCCTGTATGTACACATTTATCAGTGTTGCCTGTTGTTACCTTTTTAAAGAAATCTATCTAAGGAAGTGGCACAGCATGAAACTGCGTTGGAAAATTATTTTGTAAAAACAGTATATGTACTATACAGGGTAGGAAAGTACCGATGGTCTATCTGAAGTTACGTGAGAGCGATAAAGTAAGCCATAGAAATCCATGCGATAGAGAAGGATGGCTATAACGAAGGCGTCTCTTAGTCACCGCCCGTTTCGCCCTTCCACAAATAAGATTCACTTCTTATTTGTGGAAGGGCGAAGTGGGCGTTGACTATTAGAAGCCTTCATTATAGCCATCCTTGTCTATCACATGGATTTCTATGGCTTACTTTATCGCACTCACGTAACTTCTGATAGACCATCGGTACTTTCCTACACTGTATGACTTTGCGACATGTTATTCTTATTTTTTTTATGTCAGTGTGGACGAGGGGCCGAAGATTAAAACAATTTCCCGCCTGTTTTTTTAATAAATTTATATTATTTACATGATTATGTGGAATAGGCATGCGTAAGCATTTGTTGAAAGTATTAAGTTTATTTTGCGATTCTGTGTCACCGACATTGTCTGACCTAATTTAGATAAACTACATAATATTCTAAATCAATCCACCTGAAGCGATATGATAACAGGGCGCTAGGCAGGGAAGAAATGTTAATACACCTTTTTAGTAGTGACGTCACATACGCCAAATAATAGGCAACACCATAGTGCACATTGTCGTGAAGAATTTCCCAATATTTTTACTAGATCGACTTTCGACCTTATGTACTTTGGACATAAGTGCCAAAAAAATGTCTTCTTTGTTATGACTTTAAATATCGCGATATTCCGGCAATATTAGAAATATTTAAGAAGTTTCAAACTCCAAGTGATAAACTAATAGAATTATAGAGTTTACATATTTAAATTTTTAGAACAATATTGACATTTACAGTAATTATTAAATTAAAATTATATCAATGTTACTGAGCATGCGCATTAAAGATAATTTCATGTAAGCAAAGTAGCCTCGCAACAGGAGAAGTTTGATTAAGTGCACGTCTACAATAAACCACTTGAAGAAAAAAAAAACAGTCGATAAACACACTGACGCAGCACAACACCAAGAAAAACAATAAAAATACTTAGTAGAACTGGAAAATGCCGAGATTAAACAAAAGAAGGGAAAATACGCTAATGATAACAGCGATTATATATCAACAAGATCTCACCTACGTATGAGGCTATTCTTTCCGAGCATGTGCATTAGGAATAACACGGCTAATGTTAAATTTTTACTTTATTTACATTTAGGAATATTCTTTTATATCTATTTTGTAAGTCTAGTGTATCTATTTTACCAAACACGTGTTGATTGTTTTTAAATACTTCTAAATCCTTGTAAAAATACATTCATTTGCAATTGTTGATTTTTATAGTATCCATATAAATAGTATACAAGGGTTAGATTCTATACAATTTTAACTCTGACAATTTGTTGCGGGTTGCCTAAATATGTGACGTCACACTAAAATAATCTATTCGGCGGCACGAGAATGGCCGAATAGGCTACCGCTTCATATTATTAAATTTATTTTAGTTTTCAGTTTATCAGTTTACAAAATGTGTTTGTGTGTTTTCATTGTTAAATTTCTGAGCGATATTACGAAAAATACACAGGGTGGGCTCTTGAAAACGAAGCAGAGTGAATGATTCTCAGGAAAATTATTTTTCTGAAAAACGCCGAGACAGGTCGATTTTTGATGGAAGGGGGACATCTTTTCGCATAAATTCTTGTTACAGACTCTACCCCCTAGGGAAGAGTGCAACCCCCCAAAAATCTTAATAGGGAAGGGGGATTAAGTGACTCATCGTTCGAAAGGTATTCTAATTATCTACACAACCGTGTTTTATTTTTTGAATTTGACCTATTAGGTTCGGAAACAAAAGTTGTTAATGAAAAAAACCTACTTTTTACTAATTTATTTGCAAATTACTACATGTCAGCCAATCAATTGTTCAAATTGATGACCTCCAGCCTCCATACAATAATATAAGTTTTGTAAAAAGCTTTCACATACGTTTTGTAATATTTCTGGAGTAACTTGGCGGCATTTGTTGACAATACATTGGCGTAGATCTGGAAGGGTAGTAGGTGGAGTGAAATAAATTTTGGACTTTAAGTGACCCCACAAGAAAAAGTCCAAAGGAGAAAAATCCGACGATCGTGCGGGCCATTCTATGACGCATCTTCTCCTAATCCATACATACGATCAAGCTCCATCCTGTTGGAATATCATCTGGTCTTCGAGATAATTCTTATTATTTTCGATAATGTTTGCCAACGCTGGATATTGATCCAGCGTTCAAGAATAACATTGGTTATTCTTCAACAAATCCAGGTATATCTTCGTGGTGTGATTACCTAGTAAGAAGAAAGGGCCAACAATACGGTCACTAATAATTCCAACCCATTTATTTAATTTTTCCGGATGTTGTGTATGACTCTCATAAAATGTCCTTGGGTTAGAATCGGACCAATAATGACAACTATGATGATTGACAGTGCCATTAATAAAAAAGAGCACTCATCCGAGAAGCGGTTATTAAAAATAAAATAAAATAAATTGTAGATTGCGGTCAAAGTCACCTTCATGAAGTTCCTGTGCGAGGTGAATGGTTGAAATTTATGATGTTTTAAAATTCTCTGTATACACATGACCCCCATTCAAAATTATACTCTGTATAGTACATTCATACAAACTTTATGTAAAATTACACAGTAAATCATCGATTATTTTGACGCCACAGAACTTAACGCCAGATAGTAATTTGATGAAGTAAAATTTGAGGTAATTTTCCACTATGTAAAAAATATGCAACCCTTGATGGAATTTGTAATTTTATATACTTTTTTATGAGTGTATGTCAATTTGTATGCTGATATATAATCCAAGAATAAGAATGTATTACCTGAAATACGTTCTAAGGGAGTTGCAACCCTTTAGATGATAAATAAAAAATATTCATGATGAGCATCCTTAAGGGGACCACCCAGTATATAATTAGCGACAAAAGTTAGTCATTGTGTGATAGTAGGCTACCCAAACAAATAAACTGATTCCAGGCCAAATAGTACAATGTATTCGAATTTAGGATTGTACGTATTCATTTACAGTGGCTGCATTTAAGGTGCCTATTTTTTTAAAGTACTTTTCACTTTTCAGTTTTCATTTTACAAATGTAGAAAAGCGAAAATTAATTATGTTTTATAAAAAAACATACTTTAAATAAGTAAGTCTTTTAAGAAGCTTCAGGTATTTATTTTAGATTAAAGTATGTTTAGAAATGAAAGAGAGTAATAAAAGCTTATTATGTATGCAAATCGTAAATAAATATAGTACTGGTGCTTATATTCAATATTTTTATATTATGTAGTTTCGGTATAGATGAGGTGTACTTTTAAAAAAACTTTGTGCGATCGGACTGTACTAAATTGTAGCAGGTAGCTAAAATTTAATCCCCGACAATCCGTCTTTGTCTATGCCCCTTCAATTTCTCGGTCCATTTCTCTTATAAGTAAACAATATAAAAACAGCATTTCAAAACATGAGGCTACTTTANCTTCTACAAAAGGCAAATCACACGTCGTAACCTTGACATCAGTAAGAGAACTAAAAACTAGATCCAACGACCTACCGTTGCAATTACGCACTCCATTGTATTGACTGAAGTTGAGGAGACTATAACCATCAACAAGACATTCTCCAAGGCGATCATGAACAACGGTTGCAATAAAACAATTTCTTGAATTGTTAAGAGTCCACAAAATTTTGGGCACATTATAATCACCAACGATTAGAAAGCGATCATCAGGGCGCGATTCAACAATATTAGATAAAGTATTCAAATGAGCCATTAGATTTTGCTCCGTGGCGTAGGGTGGCACATAGACGCAACACACATGTAGTCTTACACTTGGATTTAGAGACACTGACACCCACATATCTTCACAAATTCCTGGAGATGTCCACGCAGCTTCAGACCTAGATGAGAGCTTCCTATTAACAGCAATTAACACTCCACCGCCATCTTTTTTCCCGGTTGTTGCTAAATTACGATCCTGACGATAAACTTCATAAGTATTTAAATCAAATAGTTCTCCATCCTGAATCCCTTCATTCAGCCAAGTTTCGGTTAGACATATAATATCTGCACAACAGCTTAGTGAAGATGTATAAAAATCCTGTGTTTTAGACCTTAAGCCCCTGGTATTCTGATAATAAACTGATAACTCCATTGAAATAATATAAAAAAAATGTACTTAAGTTAGTATAAAACCAAACTGCTGCCTACAGTGAAGTTTGCATAGCGGCAAGAGCAGCATCACTGGTAACATGAAGTATTTTACCATTTTGCGGGAAACGCACGAATATTTTACAGTCTCTTGTCCAACAAGTGGCACCACTGGATTTAGCGTAGAGCCTAGTTTTTCTGTAGAGCTGTTTATTCTTGGATGTTAGGTGATCATTAATAAATATCGGACTATCACCAGCAAATCCTATCTCATTGACCCTCAAGCCTCTACGTTTCCTAATGGAAGCAAGGACATTATCTTTCTGCGCACGAGAGTTCATTCTCACAATAATAGACCTAGAATTCCTATTTTTAGAATCAATATGTGGTACTCTGAAACATGAATCAAAACCTACATCTGGTTCCTCAAGGATATTAAAAATGTTATTAATAATGGATGGCAATTTCTCATTGTGATTCTCCGGAATCCCATTGATTTCCAGATTGCTTAAGCGTGCCTGTTGTTGAATGTGATCAACTTCAATTTGTAAATTATTCAGATCAGATGAGGTAGTTGCAACAGTGGACTCTAATTTAGGAATAACTCTAAGTTGTTTTTCAAAATCAACCATTTTTTTAGTGAATTCATCAATTTTATTGCCGTAGAATTCCACAGATTCAGTGACAGATTTTTGCTGATTCATAACAACATCCAAGTTTGCTTGCATTTTATCCATTTTATTGCTCAAGGTATTCATAGTTTCTACTAGTGCAGATAGACATGTGTCAACAGTTGCAGATTTATTAGCAGATCTGTTCTCAGAAGTGTTTTCAATACAGGAGGAACATTTAAATAAGAATCCAGGGAATTTCAGTACTTCAATTGGAATAGGCGGCTTAACGCAGTTCAAATGGGATACGCCACTGCAGGCGCCACATCGTATTAGGTGCCGACCTGAAACCTTGAGTTCACAGACGATACAATTTTCAGCCATAGCCAGTAGCAAAAAAACTTTCCGGTCGGACAAAAACAGAAACACAACAAAGGAACTATCGCCAAGCAAATCGTTTTTAACACTTGAATAAAATTTCCAAATCCACGCAATAGCGCGTGGAAAAATTTATCCAAGAATGAAAATATTGATAACCAGTCTTCAACTAACAGTTGTAAAAGTTTAAAAAATTTCGGAGCACAAATAACCACTTTTATACTGCAAAATGTAAGAGAGGAAAAATTACACGTGTACTACAGTTGTACACACACTACACATTTCTGAGTTCCAAGACTGTTCGATAAGATAAGAAACAGTTTAAAAGAGCATTAATTTTAAGCCCCTAATCCAATGTAAAAACATATTTTGATAACAATACACCAAAAATATACCAAATTCTTATCAGTCTTATCACCCTGCTGCAAAAAAGTTAATGTCGAAAACACCAGGCATTCACGTGAAGTGTAGGATAATTCACAATTATATTTTTGCGGCCAATTCATTTCACATGGAAATATTTGCTTGAGAGAAAATGTAGACACGTACAGGTTAAATTCTAAATGTGTACCTATATTTTAAACAAATGCGCGAAAATTAAGAGTAAAAAAAATTTAATTTAAAAAGAAATACATTATTCTTTGATAGAAAAACTTGTTGAAAACCGCTGAGCTCACACGCATAATTATACTGATGGGAGATCTACAATGTAGTATTGTTAGTATTACACTGAACTCTTACAATCTGTTTGTTCGAAATAGGAAAAAAATAAGCATTTTTTTTAGACGATACATGTGATAAATATGAAATATCTTCATAACATTTTTGTGGCTTTCCTTTCCCTTTGGCATTCCTATCCGGCAATGGTTTCTGGCAATACTTTATGTGTCCTATTTTCATATCTAACATATAAACTCAATTTTCAGTCGTTTACATGATTTTCGTGACGATCATTGCGGTAAACAACTCTGTGCTTTGAAAATTCATTGTGTACAAGTGAAATAATATTTTTTCTATTATACATTCTGATTCCACAGGGCTTTTATTTGTATTACAGTAAAAATAAAGTTATAAATCGTCCAGTTATAAAACGTATATATTGTATCGTAATTTAGAAATGTCGCAAAAACTTGGGAAATGGTTCTAGAAGCCATAGTATACTCCACGCTGATGACATTCTTGACAATATAACATATTATAACTCAATATATTACGAAATTGAATCAATCATCAATACATCATGTACATATATCACAGTAATATATTCCAGAATGCATTCTTCATGTCTTATATCGTTATCGATAAGGAGCTACACGAGCTGCATGGAATCAAGTTATAAAACTGTGTAACACGTGTCGGCTGATCAGTTTTGCGGAAGTTAAAAGTTGGGCGAAATTTTATTAGTTTAATCTGGAACTATTTCCATGCAACAGGGGTACGTAATGGTTTTATCATTGCCTCGTCGCACCTAGTAAATAAGTAGAGTGGATTTGGAGAGCTCGCAGTTTGGCTTCCAAAAAAAGTTGTTTGTTAATTTGAATTGTTTCGCATATAGTTTTTTTTTATAAAAGTACTTCTCTTTGTTGCCATTGTTCTTCATCTATCAGACTTAAAGCCATAGATCCTAGTAGAAAATTAAGAGGACAACCACCGTCTAGGAAAAAAATTGGCTACTATGCAATATGCATGTTGCTTTTTTTGTCGAACTCTTAACTCTCGGTTGTTACTGATATAACCTGTGGAGATGGAGTAATTGGTTTGTATCTTCATATTTCAATTTAACTGGCTGGATATTGAAAAATATTGTTTTTTAATGGCCCATGCTGTTTAATAGTGTTTAATAAATGTAAAAAAAATGTAAAATTTTGAGTTGAACTATGATCGAACAATTTCTGGGCTGATTGCCAAGTACTCCGTCAGTAGACTAGTGCTCTAGCAATTTCTCTACATTGTTACAGCCGTAAGGCCAGGTTATAAATATATCGTCAACATATCTGAATATTTTATTTTTACAGATGCTGTCTCCAGGACTTTTTTCTAGGAGGTTTCCTTGTAGATGTTTGCCATAGCTGTTTCTTTAGTTTGTTTATGAAATTGTTCCCTAAAGAAAAAAATCCACCTAGTCCTCACTGTTGCCTTTACTACGTTTTTATTCTTGTCTTTTGCAATGAGCCTTCGTTGAAGTTCCTCCAAAGCTTTGTAATGAACCTGTTTTATTTTTGATTTTTATTAAGTCTGAATTTAAAAATATTTCTTTTTATTTCGGATTATTTTACCCCGGCGGCGAGAATTATTGATTTTTCTACATATATATGAAATATCCACTCGCGGGTCCGACCGGCCGATACCCCACTCTGACAAGCCGTTGGTCACGTGGAGGTCCCACCACGACTGGTGTCAATCCGGTGGGGATTTGGGCAACAAAAGTCCTCGACATTCCCCGAAACCGACAGTTCGTATCCAGAACTCAACACCGAACAGACGTCCACCGCCAGCAAGAACTCTCCACCGAAGCCAGCCCAGAATAACCAGTGAACCTAGTAAGAATTATTTTCCTTATTATTATCCGTTCCAACCGGGTACAAGTCCGAAAAGATTTGTACACTTTAAGTGTGGAATTACTGTGGGCCCGAGAAGAATATTCTTGGTAACCCACACACAAATTCCACCGTCCGTCTCAACCCGCACGACAGTGCAATCGTTGGATTCGGCGTGTTAAACCCAATCCTGACGAAGCCGTCGTGTTTACTACAGCGTTGCTTGGTGTCCCGCACCTTGATGTACGCTGGGTAATAGGGGATATGTGAACCAAGACCTAGAGGTTCGGCGTGCCCACCCAATCTCCGGGTCGTTCCATATAGTATCCGTACGCTTCTCCCTGGTCGGCGTGTATACCCATCAGACCGAGAAGCGTTGTATACAGAGAGTCCGACACCATCGGCCACCAGGACGTATAAAGCTTAAAGGCTAGTACGAATTGTAAGGCGAGATACTTCGGATCCCGTTTCACCATCCTTTCTTTCCGCCTTGCACCGCTTGGGCTTTCTTCGCTGGTTATTGCTATCGCTTACCGCTTACCGCATTCCGCTTACTAATTTTGCATTGCTTGCTAGGCCATTATACCGATATTTGACCGCCCGCCTGTTTAAAATAAGTCCGAAATAATTCCGAATAAATTTTGGTTTATTTTCAGAATCAGCGGGGACCAGTAAAAAACGTCTATAAATATTTTAATCAGACCGTCTAAAATCACCTTTTCCTTTGTACATAAAAACCGTCTACGATTGTAGAGTAATAAATATTTTATTTCGATCCCGTTTGCAAATATTTATTTCTTTTCTAAGGTGATAAGTAAAATGGTAAAAAACCCAGAGTTATGACTTTTTTTAATTTTGTCTCTTTTCACACTGATTTTGTATATAATTATTGTTAATAAACTTGTAAATAATTTCAGTCGTTTAGTAGTGGGTAGGAATAAAAATTGACACTATATGTATTTGTAATAAGTATTAATATTTTCCCTGTGTGAATAAATCTAGTAAAACTTAATAGGTTTATTTCTTTCACCGTCGAGGTAAAACGATAACATTCCGAACCAGCAAAAACGCTGATATCGTTTTGTAGAGCTCCCGTTAAATTTCATATTTAAAATAAAACTACACTGAGAAAACTACTCTCTGCCGAACTCTCTGCCGTTTTCTCCTAAAAGAAATTCATTGACCCCTGGAATTAATTTTCTTCACTGTAGCTACCTGTGCACTTTACTCTAAACCGAGGGTAAGGGATACGTGGAGTTTCCCCCACGTCAAATTTAGGGAAACTGGCGCCCGAGAATAAAACCGAATATTTAAATTATTAACTAACGTCATCGTTTAGAGTCCAGTCCGAGGAATATAAAACCTTTCCGAAAAATTAAATTACAGGGGGTGTACACACCATAGTTAAAAGTAATAAAAATTTACACCGAACGATCCATAAAGAGAGAACCGAGGAAAAGTGCGTCACAGCTTCTCTAATTGACACTTTTGTGAACAACAATGTCACTTCAAACTTCACTAGGATACTGCCTCCCTTAATTTTGTCTATAAATTCTTTAGCATTTTTAACATGATACTTCTCACTAGATCTTTAAATTTGTATGGCACATATCGGGCGAGCGAGTGAGTGACTGATCCAACCACCATACGTTCGGTTTGTGGACTTTTGCAATAAAGTTGTGGTGTTTTTGAAACACTTGATGTTGTACCTTTGGAATGTTAGACTGGGTTGTTCTGGTTTCTTATACATCCGATCCTGTAGTATGTCGTCTACTTAGAATATGTACTTGGTTGTGGCCAAGACCACAATTGAATTTCTCTGTGGCCTGGAGTTATTGTCCATTTTCCCGAGTTTCTTTGACGTCTTAGACTCATATTCTAGTCAGAATTGAAGTATAACAGTTCTTGAGACATGTGCTGTATCAGTTCTTACTTTTTTCACGTCTTCTTGCGAGGAACGTCGGAAAACCTCAGTGTTCAGAACGCTAATAATGTCATATATGAATTGTCCATAGCGAAAAGGCAAACCCATTTGTAGAATCATAGTCGAGTTCCACACATGCTAGATTAATGACTTTGACTTCCTCTCCTTTATACTCCTTTATACTCCTTTATACATATAAAGGTTTGTTGCTGATCAGTCTGTCTACTAGATCTCAGATGTCTCTATCCAATTGCTGGGAAGGTGGAAATGTACTTCTAGAAGATTCT